ACCTCATGCTGGTTTCGGGAAGCTTTGCTCGTCAAAATAACTTTCACGTACACCGTCAGAGCCGATACCGTCAGGATGTCCAACTAATCGATGGATCCGTCGTCCGGACCGATGGCATGGTTCTGGGTGCCGAGCTTTCGTTTGATGGCTCACTAGTGTCATCTTCGAGGGAAGTCAACTACTATGACTACCTCGACCATTCGCGTCGTCTCTCCGCGCTTACGGGCAGAAAGTCGAAAGCCAGCGACGGGAGCTCGACAAACACGACTTTCATCTGCGACTTTCACGTCATCGAGAGCTTACCCTGCGATATAATTCTCAGCAACGAGTTCATCTTCAAGAATCAGGTCTTTTCCCAGTTCAAGCACTTGTTCTTCTCGGGACAGCTTAGTCCGATGCAGGGTGACGCGAGCATTCTTGATGGTGAGATGGACATTGAGAGATGTCTCCTGTTCATGAGATTGAAAAGAACGAGGAAATCATGGTTCAGGCGACAGTCTCAGCAGCTACAATCATCGGATGGGAATGTTCAAAACGGCCAAACGGTAGTGCCTTTGCAGCAAGTTGCTAGTCAGCCAACCTGGGAGGAGTTGTGGGAGATGGAAGAGAGGAGAAGGAATATGGTGCAGTTGTGGATGTCATCCTTGCCAGAGCCGAGGAGGTCGGGTGAGCAGAGGGAAGAGTGGAGGAGGCGAGAGGATTGGGACAGGGCTCACCCACGGCTACCGGTTGAGGCTTTGGCGATTTCATTACCTGTAGGTCAGACATCATCGGGGCCGTAATCGATTCAGGGGCACAAGGAGGTCGGCTTGGCGTTGGAAAAAAGATGTATTGTTTGGGCGTGGGGATAGAGATTCAGGTACGTCTCAAGTTTTTAGGGCATTGATTTAGCGTTGGTCGGCGTTGAAGTGTCAACCGAGGAACGGGATGTACCCGAGCATGGGTTTCAAGTACCGCATCAGATGTGTATATATCTTTCTCTTTCAAATATTTGTCAATTTGAGATTCCGTCACGGATACAAGCCAGGACCTTTACCGTGAAGTACATCTCCACGACACAACGAAGACTTCAATTTAGTCGACTTAAACACCCACATCAAACTTCATCCTCAACAAATCCCCCTCCACAATCCCACCCTTCATCCCCTCCAACTCCCCCATATCCCAATTCGCATTCACAAACCTCCCATTCAACCACTCCCTCCTCTCCCTCGTCAACCAAACCATCGTATCCCCCGCCAGCTCCGGCGTATCCACCAACCGCGCCCTATACCCCTCCGGCAGACCCTGCGCCAGCTCCGTATCCACCCCGCCGGGATGATAATACAACGCATTAACCCCCTGCTCCCCATACTGCAGCAGCAAGAACTGACAAAACCTCCACACCGCCAGCTTCGCAATGCTATACGCACTCGAGCACAACACCCCCAGCGCGCCGACCGTTCCGAGAAAGACCACGGTTTTCATCCCCCCTTCTACCAACATCATCGGCAGGAAAGCCTTCGTGACGCGGTAGGTGCCGAGGAAGTTGACTTCGACCGTGGTGACGTATTCATCTTCGGGTTGGTCGAGGAGGGACGCCTCGGGCCCCATGAAGCCGGCGTTGTTGATGAGGATGTCGAGGTGGGAGATAGAGGCGCGGATTTGCGAGAGGCAGGCGGAGATGGATGAGGGGGAGGTGACGTCGAGGGTGGTTTGGATGATGGTGGGGGGCGGGCGGTTGGCTGCGGCGGCGGCGGCGAGGGCGAGGGAGGCGGTTGTGGATGTGGCGGAGGGGGTGCGGGAGGTTAGGATTAGGGGGGTTGCGCCGGCGCGGGCGTCTGTTGGGTGTTAGTGGGGTTGAGAAAGGGGAGGGGGGGAGGGGGTTACAGGAGATGGCTGCGGCGCGGCCGATGCCTTTGTTTGCAGCGGTGATGAGGACGGATTTGCCGATGAGGGAGGTCGTGGTGGTGGGGTCGATGAGGGGGTAGGTGTCGTTGTGGATGGTTGGGGTGAAGGCCCAGACTGGAGAAGAGGTGTGAGTGAGGTGAGTTTGTTGATGGGCAACGGAGGAGGGTGTACCTTTGTGGCTGAAGTCTTGGGCCATGTTGAGCTGCTGGTGTTGTTGGGTTGAAGGAAAGGATCCAAAAAGTTGAGCGGCGTGGCTTGGGATTACTATCTTCGGAAGTTGCTGTTTATTGAGAAAGAAAACAAGAGAGAGGAAGAAAAAGGAGGTTCTGAAGATACCTCAAATATCAACTTGCCAACGACATGGCAGAGCTCAAGCTCGGACTCGACGGTTCGGACTTGGCGTGGTACAGGCCATCCATCCCTCACAGTTGGCGCTATTTCTCATCCTTTTATTCCTCTTGCGGCTCGCTTGCTGTACTGCATGCTGACGGCCAATATTTGCGGCACATGGGGTTCTTCCAAGGTTGTTGGCGCGGCGTTTCTCTGCATGCTAAACACTGCTGACAAGCAGCGGTGCGGCCCGTTGGGGAAACCTGCGGGAGATAAATGCTGTTGGTGATGCTCGGCACAATGTGAGGCTTGTTTTTGGAAGCACGGTGTGATACTGGGAAGGATTGAGGGGACAGACAAATGACGACTCAAATCAATTTTAAGATTGTGGGGTGTCAGCAGACGAGCGACGGAAGGCATAGAGGTGAGAACGGGACGTTCTGGTGCGCTGCTCTTCGTCAGTTCGCCGAGGCGCACCGTCTTGTACTGAAAAAGATGTGAGTGGCGCCCAACGCCTTATTCTCTCCTCACGGGAAACGGCTCCTCCAAGATTGCTTTCGAGTCCGGTGCAGTGCGGCCATCTTGTCCAACTGGGAAGGAATGAGTTTCGATTGGACCGATGACTATGTGCTCGTACGTCGTTAGGTAAGGTAGGTACCTTTATTAGTTGCCTCGGGCGTTTTCTGAGCGGCAAAAATCTGGGCTGGACGCAAGGCTCCACCAAGGATTCTTCTCGAGGCGCATTTTGGGTTTGCACACACGATAAGCACCGCAATCTGCATCGCTTTGGCTCGGATGGCCCCAGGAGCCAAAGGCATCGATCGGCATCTGCTGGCCACCAAACTTTAAGTCTCTAACCTTATCAGCCCAGCCTCATCAAAGCTCTCGGGTCAGCTGGAAATCTCTTCCTCTTTCTCCAACTTGTCAACATCACAACATCGGATGCAATGTCTGACACGGGCACCAACACGGCCGCAGTCCCACCGGGGAGGGTGTGCGACTGCGTCGTGGATCCGGATGGCGATACCGTCATTACATTGAAGAACCCGAATGCGCTGTCCTACCCGCCCCTCGAGACTTTTTCCGAACTAGACGAGCCTCGGTCGCGTGGGGCGGATCTCTCAGCTTTTCTGTCGGGAAGTTTGGCGGTCGATTTTCCACAACGGCCGTTGCCCGATACATTGTTCACGGCTCCTCCAATATGCATCGACCCAACAGAGCAGAAGCCGGGGCCCATCACGTTCCGTGTGTCGTCGGAGCGGCTGATTGCAGCCTCTCCCGTGTTCAAAGCCGTTCTGACGGGCGGATACAAGGAGGGGAAGCCAGTTGACAAAACCTACATGTACGAGATTGACGCCGAGTATTGGGATGTTAAAAGCTTAACACTTCTGATGTACGCCATCCACGCCCACCCCGGCTTGCCCCGAAACCTTGGCCTCAAAACGCTCGCCAAGATGGCCTTTATTGTTGATTATTATGAAATCGACATCGAATCCATGGCGCCTTGGGCAGCAGACTGGACGGCTTCTGTGCCGGACATGGAATGGCTAGATGTGTGGTCAGCGCCGCTGTGGCTGACTGTTGGCCTCGCATTTGCGTGCGACTACATCTTTGAGAAGGCGGTTGAGCACCTCCTTATGGACAGTTATGGTTGCGTGACTTGCCCTCATCGGCATCAGCTTCCCATCTGCGCTCAAAACGTCATCGGTGTGTTCTACATCTGCCTCTACCTTACATGTGCCCAAGGTATACCATTTGGATCGTGCTAATACGATGCGCAGAGCAAATCAATATGAATCGGAGACAGATCCTCGATAGCATTGTTCTGGGTCTAGCCACGGCCAGGGAATGCCTTCTTGACGGCCGAGGCAATGAGTGCTGCTACCGTCGCCGTTGCATGCATCTCGGGCGTCTGAGCATACTGTCTCATGGGTTCCGGCTGGACTCGTACTCATCCAAGGATTCGCTCTGTGCGTTCCAATTTCCGCTGAATCAAATCTTACGGGCCATTGCAGACTGTGATGAGGAGGCCCGCGAGCATCACAGCTCGAAGCACAGCTCTAGGTGTGATGAGCTATCTTCGCCCGAGCTGCTGTTGTGGGCCGTACTACCAGCTGCATTCAGATTGGAACGCCTCAGCCTCACACCTAAAGAAGCTGCTGAGAGTCCCCTGTTTGGGATGGATCTCAAGAAGATGGGACTGCAGATCTCTGGCTTCAGCAGGGGGCTCAAATCCGAATTTATATACAGTCGGCACTATAACTACAAGGAGAACAAAATCTCAATCAGAATATAGCCACAAAAACTACACCAGTACCCAGAGTGCACCCCCACAATGGTCAACTCCCAAAAGTAATAGTGGAATTCTAAGCTGTGAGGCTCAGAACCACTGTGCGCTATATACTGGGCCCGTACGTGGCAGGCAACATTCATGATGATCTTGGACAGATTTGAAAAGGGGCCAAAGAATCCATATGAATTCTCCCCATTGTGTACCTAGATCTCAACGAGCTCTGTTTCCAATCAATCGGAACAGCTTTGTTTTTTAACCTCGTGCTAAACTCCCTCCACGTTTCCATCACGTCGATCAAGATACACTTCCCAAGCGACCCACTCCATGCGGGACGCCTCAATGCACTCCCTCAGAAGAAAAAAAGAAGCAAACCAAGTATGCTGTGTGTGCCCTGAGCAGCAAAAGAGATGCGTCAGCCGCGAATCGAACGCGGGGCCCATCGATGGCAACGATGGATTTTACCACTAAACCACTGACGCGAGCGGATTGGGATAACCAGGAATCGAACCTGGGTCCTCTCGGTCGCTGTCGGCACAAGTCCACAACGAGAAGTACTGACCACTATACTATTATCCCGATTTTGATGTTTGTTGTGGGTGGATTTGTGGCTTTTGGGCTGCGTTGGGCGGAAATTTTGGGGTCCAGGGGGGCCCGCTTGAGGATGGATCCATTGCATGCGATGGGCTCCACATGGGCGGAAAGGGGGTTTGTTTTGATGAGTCATAAAAGGGGCTCGTGTAAGCGGGAGGGGAGAATAGCTCTGTCTGTCTTTGTTCGTAGCTGATGATGTGTACAAAGCGATCCGACTGTGCAAATTATCCAAGTTGACTTTACCAGAACCGACTCTTCAACAACATCTCGGAGGGATGTTTTTACTGCGCCCATTCATTCAAGCGCACCCAAAGCTCCGGCTTCTTCCACAGCAACCTGTACTTCGCCTTTGCAACCCAGTCCATCTCCCTGTCCACGGCTTCCACGTCGAACTTGAAGTGCAACTTCGCGAGAATCAGCCGCACCTCGGTCAAGCCCAAGCTTTGGTAATCGTCAGCGAAAATCCGGGAACAAGAAACAAAAGACTTACGACTTCCCAATACAAGCTCTCGTCCCCAGTGAAAACGGCTGGCTCGCATCGAGCTTATCCGTGCCATCCTGCTCCAGCCACCTCTCCGGCCGGAACCTCGTCGGCGAAAGGAAATTCTCAGGTGATCGCGCAGCGGCATACGAGTTGGTCGAAACCCAAGTCTACATCCTGTTAGCCCCCCACTCTCAATACAGAGCAGGAAACAAACTCACCCCCTCAGGCAAATGGTACCCCTCCACATTATCCCCCTGCATCGGCACGATCCTCGCCGGAGGCCACGGTACCGGCGCCATGATCCGCATCGCCTCGTTGATGACCGCGTTGAGATACGGCAAGTCGGCCACCGTTCCGGGGGAGATTTCGTCGTAGGACTTGAATCTTCCGCGGATCTCCTCGCGCAGGGTGCGCAGGATCTCGGGGTCGCGCGCGACGAAGTGGGTGGCGGTAGAAAGTGTCAGGGCGGTGGTTTCGGTGCCGGCGATGATAACGTCGGAGAGCTGGGCGGCCATGAAAGATGTGGAGAAAGTGTTGCCTTCTTTTTCATGGGCGGAGAGGATGAGGCCCAGGATGTCAGGGCGGGAGGAGGGGGCGGATTGGCGCCTGGGGTGGTTAGTTTGGAGCGGAAAGTAGGGAGGAAAGGGGAGGAATACTTCTTGACCATCTCGATGCACATGGCCTCGTGCTTGCGCAGTTGCTTGATGAGGCCGCCCATCGGGGGTGGTTTGAGGGTGACGACGAGCTTTTGGAGCCAAGGGAAGCGCCGGATGGCGACGGCTTGGCACATGGCCTCGACGCCGTTCTGGAAGAAGTCGGCCCAGGGATGAGGCCTCCCGGCTTCAATGGAGTGCATTTCTTCGCCGAGAGCAAGACTGACAGAAAGGTCGAAAGTAGCCAAACTGAAGTAGAGGCTGAGATTGGCGGGCTTCCCGGCGGCGGACAGTTTGCCGAGCTCGGTGATGAGCGTGTTGACAGTCTCGTCGATGAGCGGCCATTGGAGACGAAGACTACGGTCAGAGAAGGCCGGAGCGAGCATCTTGCGCATCTTGGCATGTTCGGCGGGGTCCTGCTCGTTCACGATGGAGCGAGTTTGGGCCGTGAAAGCGGCAGCATCGTAATTCTGGCTCTTGCGGAAGACGAGGTGGTCCTTGCGATAGCCGTAAATGTCGCGCCAGGACCTGGGCGAGATGAAAGAGAGCTCATTGGGCGCAGTGCGCACGATGGGACCATATTTTTTGTGTAGGCCTTCAACCCATTTGGGATGGTCGAAGAGGAAGTGGAACGAGTAGGGAATCTGCAGAGGTTAGCCGGGCCTGATCTTCCACGGTAATATTGCTAGTGGGAAGAACTAACGTGAGAGATGGCGCAGAGAACAGGGCCGGGGAAATGCTCCAGGCCATGTTTTTGGCGCTCAGTCGTGATATATTTGTTGACCAGATAGCCTAGAACCGCCTGTGAAACGTCGCGTCAGCATCGGCCCAACGGTTGGGGAAACGCTCTGGAAGCAAGCGCGACCAACCAGCACGGCGAGCGTCAAATAGGCTGACATGGCTCGTTATGTGTTGGGAATACTCCGCGAACGGTTACCCCGACTTTGACAGAGGCTGCATCGATGAAGAATGCTGTTCGGTGAGGGGTGAAGAGCGGAGATTGAGTGAGATGACGTTGATTCACCGACTCGGATGATCGGTTCGGAACGTGGCAGGGATCTTGCGGCTGGGGATGAAGCCGCAACGGACGTCCGCCAACGCTTGGCGCTGCAGGAACGAATCAATTTGCTTGCCCGTCCGTTGCGTCTGCGGCCCGTGTGCAACCTCCGCTCCGCGGAAGACGACCTGTCGCGCAAAAATACTCCAATTGTATACGGTAGATATAGTGATTGCAAGTCGACTTCATCTCAGAAAATCCAACGGTGTTCCAGCCTCATCCCATGTCCATCAAGAGCCGAACTGAATCGCGGGGTGGTAGGGTAAAGAGGATGACGCCCCTGAAAGAACGAGACGAAAGCCCCGGGGCGCTCTAGAAATCCAAAGATCTCATCCAAGCCCCTGGCCACGTGCAGCATCCGAACATCCTACTAAACAACTAGCCCTGTGATTCTGTCGTATCATCAACCAGCACACTGTCAAACCCTTGTGCCTCCTGCTCCGCAAGTGATGATCGGACAACCAACATGACATGCTCGAGGCTCACATCAACCTCCTTCAAGAATGCTAGTCTCTTGGCCGTCTTGAGAGTCTTTGCCATTCGAGACTCAAGGGGCTCCGCTCTTGCTAGCCTTTGGCATGCTTGCCGTAGCTGCGCGGTTGGGAGGGAGCTAGCGAGTTCGGGGAGTTCATCAGTGAAATATTGCCGCCAGAGTGTAGCAGGTTCAGCAGAGTCCAATACGGTCAGGTCGCAGTTGATGATGGCGTCGATGGAATCTTGAATGATGTTGCTCGGACTCCACTCTGTGGGGGCGGCGAGCAGGATGACGCCTGGGTAGAGCGAGAGACATTCTGCTAGTTCCGGGTCTGGCGGTTGTGTCAATGGATGAAATGCAGTCATTCTGCAAGAGAAGAGAGTGAGGATGCGGCGTACTTGCGCTAGACCTTCCCCTGGGGAAGTCCTCAAGCTGCTCTACCAGTAGGATGGCCCCCCATTTTAGGGCTGCTGCCGAGACCTTGGCGAACCTGAGAGTGAACTCGATCGGGGAGAAGAGTAGGAGCGGTCGTTGCAATCCATTTGAAATATCTAAGAAGCCAATGAGCATAAAATTTGAGTGAGCATTCCAAGACATGTTTGAAGGGGTCACTCACAATGCGCTGTGTTCGCGGTCGCTTTTCGTGACCCTTTGAGAAGTAGCGCGAGACCTGCTCCGTGAACGGCTCTCCATTGGTAGTTGTCATTGAGTGACTGGTTCTTGAGGAGAACACTCTTCGCAAGATCCTTCCAGACGTCGACATTCACTGTCTTCTGTCCACAAAAGCTTGATTTCCATGAGGGGGGGCGAAGCTGCGAGATCAAGATGCCGGTTGCGTGGACACCCGACGACACTAGATACGCCGGGACATATCCGCGGCAGAGCAGGAGTAACTCGGTACCACCTTCTCCAACTTCAGCGGTTGGTTCGGCCATGTCGAGGGATTGGGGCGGGAAGGTCTTGGGATGCAGCGAGTCAGTTGTGGTGCTAACACCATCTAACCCGAGGTCTACGACGTCGAGATTGTTCAAAAGGTGCTGATTGGATGTTGTGGTGTCGATGACCACTCTTTCATCAGTGTACCTCTGCATGTTCACTCATTAGCGCTGAATAAGGTGACAGGACAAGACCTAGGCTTGTGACTGACCTGCTATAGTAAGTTTTCGTTTTGTGAGCCCCGCAGTTCCGAAGACTTCGTTCCGATCATGTCATGGGCAAGAACCTGAGGACCAGAATAGTCCCATACACTGAAGGGCATGGAACAGAGGTGAAGATATCGGCGGCCCCTCTCACTGAGGGTCTCGAGTATCTCCCTTCGGCTCTGCAGTGTCATGGATTTATACGGGACGAAGCCCAAGTCGTCTGCAGTGATGTGCTTCAACCCACTGTATCTCCGAATTTCGCGGGTCGAGCGGCAGAGAGAAAAACACCCGCCGGATCCGGTAATCGCGGGTCTGTAGACGACCTCACTCACAGTGAGTCGCAGGGTCTCTGGGTCGCCAAGATGGCCATAGGTGTACTCCAGACCTTCAATTCTGAAACACTGGTCGTAGGGAGTTCCGCGTGGTGGTATGTGTCGTCTCTCATAGACAATGGACTGTGGCTCAAATATGAGCCACAAATTCGTAAAGGATACTTTTTGCGCTTGCAGCACAACACTCAGCACCTCTTCGCTTCCAGGGAATAGTCCTTCGATGAAACGACCGAGGCTTTCCAAGACCTCCTTGTTCTTTGCTCTTCGGGCCTTTGGACTAGACCGCAACCGTGAAAGAATGTCTTCTTTTCTGAAGTAAAGAACTCTGTAGGAGCCTTCATTGATGATGAAAGAGGCGTCATCCATGAGGACTTCGCTGCTGACTTCAGTCAACTCTGGGCAATGGCGACTGAAGAAGCGATGGAGGAAGCTTGGATATTTAAAGTGGAGACAATCCAGCTCTTTGAGTCCAGACACATCGAATCGCCTCTCGTGAGTTATGGCTTCCATGCAAATGTCATCTTCGGGATTCATGGTATTCTAGCTTGCCCAGTCGTCGTTGGGCACTTCCACTTGCTCGATGCAGCGGACTGGGTTTCGAAGCATCGGACAGTCCTTCGAGCGAATGGCTGGCGTAATTCTCGTCGACCTGTTCAGTCACGAGAGGCCTCGGCCAGCTTTTGTTCACAGCGAGCTGAATCGACGTAGAAGTTGCCCTACTTGCGGAACTCGACCCATCATCGGAATCAGATCCATCATCAGAGCTCGATTCATCATCGGAATCGAGGTCTAGGCCCCTTGAATTCACTTCGATGATCTGAGAAAGGCTTGTACTGGACCGC